AAAACAAACACTAATATACAAAGTGGCTTCTTTGAGCTTTTTAAAAGATAGAATAAGTAACACAGGAATAATGTTTTTTATGCTTGTATTATCTTCTACATTACATCATCACATCTGCCGTCAACAATCTTAAAATCCTCAGACTCTCCACATGTGTTTGATACAGTCGGTGTACGTGATGCCTGTTAGTGGCACCTTTACTCTCATTCTAACCACCAAATACAACAACAGGACTAAAGTGTCAGCATAGTCTTCAAACGTGTTTGACCACAAACAGCAGCAACACTGTAACACAGCACCAGATACTTAGTTAGCTCATGTATTACTGTGATCGATCATGTTTGCTGACTTACTGAACGATACAAAGAGAATATACTGAGAGTATAGCCCAACTAAATGTATGCAAACTTTAATGCATGACACTGATGATGAACTTACTGAGTTATGACTGTTGAAGGGGAAAGCTCCACCGTGATCCCAGGAAACTGATGCATTTATATTGAGAAGTTTGGAAAAGAAACATTTTGAAAACCCAATTCTACTCTCTCGTTCATAAATGGCTTTACTGGAAGATTTTCTTTCTCCATCACTGCTCTATATGTCCATGAAGATAAACGAGGAGAAGTTTATTCCTGCTCAGACTGACACCATCACAGTCAACATTTACAACCAGAAGAATCATCACGGCAAATGTATGGTGTGTGAAAATTCCAAGCACTCGGTTTTCCAATTATAGTACATCCTGCTTAACTGATGCTTATTAATTCCTTCAAACTCATTATAGCATGTAAAATAGAGCTCCCTCACGAGAGGAATACTAATGTACGTTTCAACAGTTCAGCGGTCGTCTTTCAGCTCAGAGGTTTGCTTTACCTTCCTGCACCTAAACAGAATAAATACCACCTTTATTTATAAAGCACGTTAACATAAAACCAGAGTTCACAAAGTGCTGTACATGCTAATAGCATAAGTAAAGAAAATTAAAATGAGATAAGATAAAATAAATAACTAAAAAAAAACAAAAACTAAAATAAATTGAAACATGTTAAAACAAATTGAGTCAACCCCTCTAATCAATGCCAAAGGCTTCAGCGAATAAATATGTTTTAAGAAGACTTTTAAATTCAGAAAGAGAAGAGGCCTAACATGCAAGGGTAGATCATTCCACAACTTTGGAGCAACTACAGCAAAAGCACGATCACCTTTAAATTTATACTTAGTTTCCCCTTTGATAAAGAGCATTTCTTAATATTTCAGTCGCTGTAACAGACTCAGTGTGTTTGCTGGTGACAGGTGTGTGTGCAGTGCTTGTGCAGCGATGTGTGTGGATTAGACTCGCTGAGAGCTCTGCAGTCAAGTGCTTGTAGTTGGAGTAAATAAAGCCTGGAGTCGGGGTTCCTTCTGACTGACACTAAGCCAGCGGGGTCAGGCCGTGGGGCTACCCCAAACAAAAAACCTTTTACCACTGCTCTTCACTGCTCGCCAAAGGCTTGATTGATTGATTCACTGGCCAATCAGAGTTCATTGATCACACAAACCCTTACCCCCAGCTCTCCAGGCCTTCTCTTAGTCCATTCATCTGCCTGTCAGACGTATCCACTCGAGGACCGTAGCTGTGAGTGCTCACACTTTTACAATAACCTCCTCTGGCTTTCTGAAGAAAATCCTTTACAGAGTTTCAGATGGAGGGCGATAAAGTTTTTATTTTAACGTCTGGTCTCCATCAGATTGCTTTTGCAGTAATAAAGGATTTTTCCTGGTGTAAAACCCATAAAAATGGGATTTTTGAACATGATGCGTTATTTTCGAGCTGATTCAGAGCCGTCACAGACATGTCAGGAACACACTGCTGAAATCAAACATGTCTGGTCCTTATAACGCCACATCTGACTTGGTAACAGAGAGATCATCAGTCACGACTTCCTATTCTGCTTGTGCCAAAAGATAATTCTTCACAGCTCTGTGTTAAATTGGTGAGAGCTGCAACTCTGTGGCCGGTTGCTTCCCATCAGTCAGACGTAGGTTGTAAATGTGACTCACAGATAGTTTCTAAGAGCCATCGAGGCCTTCAGCCTTGCCCACCTTCTCTTAACCTGGTCAGAGAGGAGGAAGCAGGTGGAAGAGCAAAAGGGTGTGTCTGAGAGGAGGCCGTAAGGCAATGAACTGAACTGATGACTCATTTCTAAGTATTTTTATCAAGTTTTGACTTTAATAGTGGAACAGATTCTGCCTCTGTGCTGCTTTTAACATGAGCGGTTATCGAGTAGTTTCATCAGAGTTAAAGTTACTGCTCAGAGGGTCACGCCTGAACCAACAAACACGGTTCCCTTTAAATTTCAATTCAATTCAATTCAATTTTATTTATATAGCGCCAAATCACAACAAAAGTCGCCTCAAGGCGCTTCATAGATACAGAGAAAAACCCAACAATCATATGACCCCCTATGAGCAGCACTTTGGCGACAGTGGGAAGGAAAAACTCCCTTTTAACAGGAAGAAACCTCCAACAGAACCAGGCTCAGGGAGGGGCGGGGCCATCTGCTGTGATTGGTTGGGGTGAGAGAAGGAAGACAGGATAAAGACATGCTGTGGAAGAGAGACAGAGGTTAATAACAGATATGATTCAATACAGAGAGGTCTGTTAACACATAGTGAGTGAGAAAGGTGACTGGAAAGGAAAAACTCAATGCATCATGGGAATCCCCCGGCAGCCTACGTCTATTGCAGCATAACTAAGGGAGGATTCAGGGTCACCTGGTCCAGCCCTAACTATATGCTTTAGCAAAAAGGAAAGTTTGAAGCCTAATCTTGAAAGTAGAGATAGTGTCTGTCTCCTGAATCCAAACTGGAAGCTGGTTCCACAGAAGAGGACATGCTACACTCAGAAACGTGGTAGAAAGCACCTGTTTATGATGGTCAGAAGCTCAACAAGAGCTTGGTCTCTCACAGAGACATCTTTGAGTTGAGTGTGTGAGTGTAGATATTTGGTATGTTTGTGTCCTGGGACTTGGATATACCGGATATGTGCAATGATTCAGAAGTAGGGCACAGGGCACAGTACTGTTATCTAACTGAGATGGTGGTTAACCTTTAATGACACGAAAGTCTTTTTGATTGTTGAATCTTTGTGGTAAAATTAGCCACTTTTAAAAAGCCATTAATTGATTTTCTATGTATTTATGTGAGCTGAAGTCTCATATCATTGATGACTGTTACTGATTGTACGCCTCTTTGTTTGCAGGGGGGATCTTTGAGTCCATTGAAAGTGGCCCATCAGGTGCGGAGGAGCTCGCCTTTAAGTTTGCTTTAAACACAATCAACAGAAACAGAACTCTGCTTCCAAACACCACACTCACCTACGACATCCAAAGGATAAACATCTACGACAGCTTCGAGGCCTCCAGGAAAGGTATTTGCTTGCTCGTGATTGTGTGTGCATATATATAAATATATCTGCAGTCACTGTTTCAGGCCCGTGAGCTGAGCGGCACTCGTTTAGGTTGTGGCAGTTATAATCAGGCGAGGGAGAAATGGCTGAGCACTACAAATGTAAACAGAGATAATTGATTGGTTCCACGTAATGACTCAGCGGCAGTAATTCAAAGACCTGCTTGGCCCCCAGAGACGGCCAATAAAGTGCTATAATCTATCAGTTTTCTGTGTGCATCAGGCTGACATTTCAAGTCCCTTATCAATTATGGGCCATTATATCCTGTCTTAGTGATTTACTCAAGTCTCTGTTATTAAATAAGGTAATCAGAGTGCACAGCAAATACAAGGATATGTGTTGTTGGTAGGTCATCAAACTGAAGATGCACCTGTAGACCTATGATAGGATATATTTAATAGATTTAGACGTGTTGTCAATAGACAAAACTACACATGAGGACAAAATTATTATCTCCTCTTTGAGCCACAAAACACTGCTGTGGAATTATGTGCTTTAACTCTGTAATGCCCAAAGCTTGTAAAAACCAGTTAAATGGGTTATCTTCCAGTTTACATCCAGTATGAAAACGTTAGCATGGTTTCGATCTGTCTGAGAAAGCATCACGCCAAAAACCAAAGAAATCCGTATAGACTGGTTAGAGTTGTTGATGCTCATGAAGCAAAGTTACCAAAGTGTTTCCAAGTATCACAAACTGGAGTGCAGACATCAAGAAAATCAAAGAGTCAGAGCAGGATAATCCCAACACGTTCTCACTCCCAAAGCGTAACATTTTACGCTAGGTGACAAATCGTCAACATATTACGTTTTCGGCTACCCACCATGTTCCTAAATGACGACCTCGGAAAAATGAGGAAATATGGGAACCGTATGGACTCAATCTACACATGTTCGCTCTTTTTCTTCAAATCGCTTAGAAATACGCTATTTAACATCATTAAAGTCCTGCTTAAGCTCAGGAAAAAGGTTATGGTTAGGGCTAGGGATAAGGTTAGGTTTAGGGCTGGAATACAGGGCTGGAACGTCTATTACCGCGGGAGCGTCATTGCACTGGATTTCGGCCATAACCCGCCGCGTACCTTAAGAACTCCGAAGGTCTCCTTTTGCGTTCCTCAGGAACGCCCCGGGATGTGACAAAATGTCGGCATGTTACGCCTCGGGAGTGAGAACGGGCTCATAATCCTGTTAGAGGAAGCCGACGATGTCAAAGATCTAGAGAGAGAGAGATGTCGAAAGACCCCATGACAACTGCCAAGATGATACTTGGACAAGTTGAAAATTGTTGACTCAAAGAAGAAGAGACACTTCAAGCTGGACTGCAGTACGCTAAGGTAACCTGGAGAACGATCATGGATCCTGGGAATGCTTCCTTTGGTCAGATGAGACAAAGCTACAGTTGTTTGGCCACAGCGCTGCTGCGTATTTACCAAGAAAGAAGGAAGAGGCGTATAACCCAAAGTGTAGGGATGCTTCAGTGAATCATGAACTGGGAATTTCGTAATTGAATACTGGGTCTGGTTTGTTGTTTTGTCTTCCCACACTTTAATGATCCAAAACATATTTTGCTCCTAGTGAAGCGCAGCCTCTAGAAGACCAAAATGAATGATACTGACTGACCTGCACGAAGCCCCGATACGAGTCCTATTGAAAATCTGTCGGATGACTTGAAGACCAAGGTCCCTGTCAGAAGACCATTAGGAGGAGTTTGAGAGAACACAGAACAGGATTGTAACTGCAAGAAGAGAAAGGTTGTTAGCAACCCTCTCTTTTATATACAACATGAATACACTAGTTGGTTGTGTTACCTACTGCGAAGAGATGCATTGCGGATGAGTTGCAGATTGGTGCAGACTGACTGCAACATGATGGCAATCTGTCTGTGTTTATAAATTAGCAGTTACTTGCAGACCTTCTCCAATCTGTCCAAGTGTGACTGTAGACAATTATTTAAGGACAAGTTGCCTCCCAGTAGGTGATCCCTGCAATTGCTATGAAAAGTGCAATGACTGAGGGCATCGCTAAACCTCTTGGTGACCATTTAGTCTCGACAACTACCTGCAATCAGTTGCAAGAAATCTGCAACCTGTTGACTGTAGAACAAAGAGTTTCGAGTCTTGGTGATTGGCTGCTTGAGTAAACAGTGTTGTTGTCAATTTCTAAAAAGAAAAAAAAGGAGGAGTTTGAGAGGTTTGCCAAAGAAGATAAGGCTGCACTTACTGAAAACTACAATCCTGTAAAAACGTATCCAGTAAAAATCATGCACAGTTGCATCAGGGTGACTAATAATGTTGACCTTGGTAGGTTTTAGCTTTTATGAAATAATATGTTACCGTATGCAAAGCAAAACGATCAAAGCACACAAAATAAAAATAAAACTAAATAAAACTAAACCTTTGAAAAATGACATTTTCATAAGAATGAATAATGATGAATTGTAAATAAATAATTCTGTCCTCATCTGTAATGTATGCAAAGCTGACCTGTGTAATGTTATATACATCTATCAGTGGTCTGATGCAGAACACAGATTAATGTTGACGTATTGCATCCGAGGAGCAGCGGGCTAACCAATGTAAATGCTTTGTCTCCCCAGCCTGTGACCAGCTTTCTCTTGGGGTAGCAGCGATTTTCGGCCCCTCTCACAGTTCCTCTGCTAATGCTGTCCAGTCTATTTGTAATGCCCTTGGGGTCCCACACATCCAGACCAAATGGAAGCATCAGGTGTCAGACAACAGAGACGTCTTCTACGTGAGCCTTTATCCAGACTTCTCCTCCCTCAGCCGGGCGATCCTGGACTTGGTCCACTTCTTCAAATGGAAGACGGTGACGGTGGTTTACGATGACAGCACTGGTAAGACCGCACACACAGTTCTTGTCATATATACATTTAAAAAACTTTGAGAGCTTATAAATGTTTTAATAGCATTTCATGCTAACCCTTTCACTTGAAATATAGTCCTTCCCAGTATTGAATGTTCAGTTTGTGTTTGGGAAGAGGAAAATAGTGGAGTGGTCTACTGTGAAGGTGTGGACATGACTTTTATTTTTGTTGGACAGAAGAACAAGAGCAGGATGGTTAAGTTCAAACTGCATCCAGGAGAGAAGCAACCGCATCATACTGCTAACAGAAATCCATCTGCACAGATAGCATGCTAACACAAAGCATGCTATCTGTGCAAAGAGCATGTTAACACAAAGCTAGGCCCTAATCTGCAGCAGGTTACAAACGATGAGCTACGTGTTCATGCAGGTAGAAGAATTATTGTGGAAATGACTTTAAGTGTCTTTGGATGAACTTTGAACTTTGCTTTATGTATATACGTAAAAACTAAAAGAAAGATCCCGTATATGTTCTCATTAGGATAGAGATTTGTCTTAATCCAGGTGACTGTGGCCTTTAACCTGTTCACTAATAATTATGGGACAGTTTCTTTCAGATCAGTTTAAAAGTTTTGTAACAAATAGATTTAAAAATACTTTCCTCATTGAGTAATTAAGTAACATACTGCATTACATTTAAGAAAAGTAAGACATAAAGTGTAATACATCACAAACTGCTGAAGGTTTGGAAAATAGAGGGTTAAACTTTTTCAGTCTGACCTTTCACACGTTTTCCACAACAAACTACAAACATTCATTCATTCGTTTATCTTTCAGTGTAATCTAAAAAACAAAACTACAGCAGTGCTACAGAAGAACTCTCTGTGTCACTTGCTTTTACTGAGGTTTTACTGAGGTCATAATCTGTGAGGAAGTAGCTTTTCTCCTTATGCGGTGAATGAAACCTTGTTCAGACGATGAGTCCAGTCTAGGTCACCAGATGACAAATAAGCCAGCAGGCTGGGTACATGGACCATATGCCAGAGGTCAGGGGAAGTGCCAGCATGGAGACAGGCTGCCAGGCCTCCCAGAGAGTCCAACAGACAGGCTGCAACTGAACTGGCCTGGATCGAAGAGGTGCAGTGCATGTGTTCAGCTAGAGCATGCTTTGTGGAACAAACCAGTAGGCACACATGATCAGGGAAATCTGCAAATAGCAGTGTGACAGCTTTTATCAGTGGTTTACTGTCCTTACTTCTGTTGTGAATAGTCAGGACTGGACATAAACAGTGGAAAAGAGGTTTTAAGTCATAGACACGTGAAGTTTGTAGTGTTAGTGACGGTGCGTTCACGCCGAACGGGATAGACGCGACCAGATCGTCAGGTTTACATGAAGTCAATGGAGGAGCGCGATGAATTCAGAAGCAGATTTGCGTCACGAAAACGTGTTAGTCACGTGTGGTGTGGTGCATTCACGCATATCACGTCTACAGCTTAAGGTTGGAAAAATCTGAACTCCAGCTTCAAGTCGCGCCGCGACAACCAATCAGGAGCCTGGTGATGCTCTGACCTAGTTCAAAGGGGCGAGTCCAGCCAAAGCTTTAAGTCCTTTTTATTCCTGTCTCCCTGTAAATAGTTTATATATTTATGTTTAATGTTTTTCTGTTTGAGAAGTTTAATATTATTTCAAATAAATGTTTGTAATGACTAATGTCTCAGTTCTACTACACAGCAAATACTGGCACACAGCTTGACATGTAAAATTCATTTCATATTATACTAATGAAAAAATATACTACTACATAGGAACACAGTGAAGACCAATTATTTAAGGGCATAAAGAGAGGTTTGTTTATTTTGGAGGCAAGCTCCATTTATTAAGAGAATTTAAAAAAGGCAGGAACGCTCTTTAGAGGTTTGTGGTTGGCTCAGAGCTGTTGTGGGAGTAATGGATTACATGTACCCGTGTTAAGTAATTAAAATACAAAATAAGAGTAACTGTATTCTGTTACAGTTGCCTTTTAAATAGGTGGTAATCAGAATAAAGTTACTTTGTTGAAATAAATAGAATCCATGGGGGTCATTTCCTGTTTCATATGTTAGGCTGCCCCCTCTCGATGCCTTCTCCAGTCTTGGTGACTAAACACAGCTGGACGCATCTTTAGCTCAGCTGGATGAGCATGTCGTCACATATCGTATGGCTGAGAGCGGCCGGCGCGGGTTTGACTGCGAACGCTGTCAGCTGGCGTTGGCTGAGGTCAGTTCACAGACTGCAAACTGTTAGGTCGTTTCTAAATACTCAAGTACGCGAGTCTGTACTCACGTTTTCACGAGTCAGCACTTCTTACGTTCACACGGGAGTCTGGACTTACCGACTTCCCCAGCTCGATCGCTCTACAACATCATAGCTCCGCGGTTTTACTGCCATCCCCTCTTAATTTAACGGTGATTGATATCTGCAATGGAAACTACACATGATGTAGTAGCTCTCTGCAAGAAAAAAAGATAATTTAAAAACGTATCTTAAGCACTTTGGCTAAACTCTGTTTCATAATGTCTCATAAGCTTCATACAGTTCAGCACAATCACTACATGACAGAAACACAATAAAAACAAACAGGTGAGATGTTAGAACGCTTTTATTTTTATTTTAGTAAACACTCAAACCTGCAACAGCTGCTGTGTTTGGAAGAGAACTGAACAATATTTAAAATATAATCTGATCAGTTTTGGAGCAGCCTTCAAGTATTTTGTGTGTGTGTGTGTGTGTGTGATGGAGTTTATGGGTGGAGCTTTGAAACTGATTGATCCACAACTGCAGTTAATTAAGTTGTAAAGTGGACACAGCTAGTTCATGCTGGGGTTAACAACAGCTTGATTTTCTGTCTTGGTGATGGGAAATGAGATCCTCGGTTGACCTACAAACACCTTTACCTGCTCAGTGTCACCGTTTACACAGGTGACGTGATAGTAAATGCAGATAGCGCTGATGGAGGACACTGAGGGCAAACTGAAGCACTGAAGGAGACTGGTTTGAATCATTGTTCCAGCAGGACTGGGTTTTCTTTTTATTTGCTTTCTTGCTGCACTGCTACCTTTAGCTACCTGCCTAAAGTACCAAGACAAAGGCAATGCAGCAGAACATTTCTATTCTATATAATCTCACGGATTCTTCCTCAGGAGTCCACATCTGTTGTTCTCCACCTGTTTCCACAATGGGACATAAAAAGGGGGGGGGAGAGAAACAATCTCTCTTTGTGTGCTGCTTTTCCGCCATGAAGGCGGCAAACAAGCAAATCAATAACAATAATGGTCCTCCTCTAACGGCTCAACTTTGTAATAGGCAAACTGAAATGGCAGCAGCATGTGTTATAGCTCCCCCAGTCAGCCATTACATCCGTACAACAACCAGGAATAGCACTGCTGCTGCTGCTGTTTGATTACACCCACCATATATTTGACTGTGTGCTGTTGTATCAGCGTGCTCCATGGACCAAATGTGTCCAAGCATCAGGTTTAAGGTATGACCAACGAGTCATTTTGTCTGTTAGTACTACACAACCTTTTTTTGAACAAGAGTCCAAACATCTAACCATCAAGGTTTCAAGCTCAGTCTCTTACAATGACACGAGTGATACAGCTTTGTGGTTGTTCATGTTGAAACTTAGTGAACTCCTGTTTATAGAGCAAGTTCAATAAAGAGATCATCAGCAGGTACTGACTGTGGTTCAATTAAGCTATCTGGCAGTTAGACTCTGATGGCCCATCACAGCAAAACAGAATCTCATAGCGACAGGAATTAAGGGGAGAATCCCCCGGAGTCTTGATGCTGGTGGTGGAGATGAAGATGGAGCTTTTAGAAAACACTATTGAAAGCAAAACCATCAAGTTATTAGAAAAAGACTTA